GAGCTCTTAATTCTTAAGGTCAGTTTCAACAGTTTGAATCACCAGTGATGCAATACTAAAGTATCTAACCTTTATGCATCTACCCGATGGCACCTATTTAGTTTTAATAAACCTCATACTGAATTATTGCTTAATGACACCCAAAATCCTGTTAAAACCTACATATAAATTTTATGTAACAGTAAAATATTACATATTATTTCCATTAGCACTTGGATTTTTTTCCCTACCACTTACCTGAATCACCACTGCTAGCAGGTGGGAGATCATCAAAAAGCAAAGGTCCCCCTGATCCTGAAACATAGCAGAACACCTAGTAAGTTCACAAGAAGTGTGTGAGGCTCAAGTTTCAGAATCCATCCCACCAGGACATCTATGTAGGTTAACTGAAATAAACTCAAAACTCTTGTGTCAATCCAGTGGCAACTCATATTGCAGTGAATAATATTGAACCTACTTTAAAGTCCTACCATTTCAAAAGAAACAAAAATCTGTCTTAAGAAGTCAAATTTTATTTCTGCTAGTAAAATAAATACTGAAATGAAGCAGAGAGAACTGCTCCACATCTCTGCGCAGCACTTCTCAGGGCCAGCGACCAGCAGACTTTCTGCCTTACCTGATGCCATGGATTCAAAACTTAAGACAGTCCAACACCTAAAACATCTGTGTGTTGAAAATGGGGGAAAGGGAAAAAGATTGAGACAACTACAATCCCAGGATGAGTAGAGACGTTGACACACACCTGGGAGAGCCTGAAGACTGTACCTGAGTCAGTACTGCTGGCTGGAGGAAGGTCGTCAAAGAGCAGGGATCCTTTCTGAGCTTCTTTCCCTAAAACACAGAAAACCTGTTTAGAGAGCATGTGGTGAAACCCTAGGACCCTCTGTCAAAGGGAAAATCAGGTGGTCTCCCGTACTTTGAAACAAGTTTACCATTACATGCAAATTTTCTCCTTCTTATCAGTCAAAACTTATTTAAAAAAAATTTTTCTTAACAGCTTTTTAAAATGGACATTTGTTTCCAACAGTTACAGTCAACCTAAAAGTAATGAGTGATACCCCAACAGGCACTTTAAGGGCTACTGGATACTGTGGGGAAAATAAATATTTTTCTTAGTAATTTCATTACTGAAAGCACCATTTAAAAATCCTTCTGTAAAAGAAAATTGTGGCTGAGCATGGTAACTCACACCTATAATCCCAGTATTCTGAGAGGCTGAGGCAAGACTGCTGAAAGCTGGAGTTAGAGATCAATGTAGGAAAAACCCCATCTCCACTCAAAATTAAAAAATAAGCTAGGCATGGTGACATGCACCTTTAGCCCGAGCTACTTGGGAGGCTGAGGCAAGAAGATAATCTGAGCCCAGGAGTTCCAGGCTGCAGTGAGCTATGATCATACCACTGCACTCCAGGCCAGACAGCACAGCCAGACCCTTTCTCAAGAGGAGAAAATCCTGGGAAGAAAACAAAACTGATCCTAGACCAAGGACGCAATGCTTTTGTATCTCAAGACAGAACTTGAGGAACAGGGATCCTACAAAGATCTATAGGTTTTTAAATACCCTATTTCAATGACATTATGTAAGGGAAAAAAATCTGTTGCAACTTGGTGTCCCCAGCCCCAGCACAGTGCTGATTCAATAAACATCTATGGAGAAAACAAACAACATCAGATAATCAAAGACTGACTCAGAAGAAAGCCAGAAAAAAGATTTTTTGAAATTTTTATTAAAAAAAAAAAAAATTTTTTTTTTTTTTGAGACAGAGCCTCAAGCTATTCCCCTGGGTAGAGTGCTGTGGCATCACAGCTCACAGCAACCTCCAACTCCTGGGCTTAAGCGAGTCTCCTGCCTCAGCCTCCCAAGTAGCTGG